TTTTTTTTTAAATATGTCTTTATTGATTTCAGAGAGAGATAGAAACATCAATGATGAGAGTCATTGATCGAGCCCACAACCTGGGCCTGTGCCCTGACCAGGAATCGAACCCCGATCGCCTGCATCCTGGGTCAGTGCTCAACCGCTGAGCCACGCTCCCCCTGGCCAGAATCTATACTTAAAATGGACATTTCATTCAAATTTGATTTTGCACAAGAGTTGGGCCTCCCCCCCTATTTAATTTCAGAGGGCTGTGAAATTATCTGTAATTGTAAATCTCCTTTAACTTCCTCCCTTATTCCTTGAATAGGATTCAAGATGAACTGGCATCCAACTTCACTTCTCTAACAAAAGTACTTTATGACTTTAACAAAATGCTAGAGAACGGCAGGATCCACGGAAGCCCTTTACAGAAACTGGTGATAAACAATTTTGATGATGAGCAGATTTGGCAACAACTGGAACTGCAAAACGAGCCAGTGTTACAGTACTTCGAGAAGGCAGTTAATGAAGCCGTGAAAGATGAAGACATCAGTCTTCTCCCAGAGGCAGAAGAGCAGGAGGCCGAAGAGGATGGTTCAGAGCTGGAGGCTGACGGCCCAGAGGACCTAGAACAAGACGCGCAGGAGGAAATAGGCCTGAGTGGTGATGATTCTAAAGGGGATGAGACAACCAAAGCCTCGGGCAAACGTGATCTGAGGAAAAGCCCAGTTTTCAGTGATGAGGATTCTGATCTTGACTTTGATATCAGCAAATTGGAACAGCGGACCAAGGTGCAGAGCAAAACGCCCCAGAAACCAAGAGAAAAGTCCATAGTGGATGACAAATTCTTCAAATTGTCTGAAATGGAGACCTTTTTAGAAACCATGGAAAAAGAGGAGGAACGGCAAAAAGATGATGCTGAGGAGGAAGAGATTGATTTATTTGAAGATGTCGATTCTGATGAAGATGAGGGAGGACTGTTTGGAAGTCAAAAACTCAAGGTAAAGTTTTGGGAGAGGAGAGAAAGAGTACTTTCTACCTCCTCAAGTTAGATTCTGTTCTGTTTCTCGAGAAGAGGTTGAAATACCTCAAAACGCACCAGGACGTAAGTGAAATATTTAGATCAGCTAAGAGAGATCGACTGGAAAAATTAAACCAAAGCCATCATTCCCTTATCGCAGAATACTTGGAGTTTAAGAACCATAATCACACATGTAGGAGATATGCAGAGTTTCCCTCAAACATGTATTTTCACCAAGCACTACAAATAACAGTGAAAGGAAAGCATTTGTATACTTTATTTAGGCAGGGATATTTTGGAAATATGTTAGATTTAGAGATAGGAATACTGTGCTGGATCACATCAGTTATAAAGAATACGTACTTTCAGTTTGTTATGGTCTAGCAGTTCTTAGGGGTTTTTGGTAGTGTTTTTAGTTGGCTAGTTTTCCCTCTATATAAGCTGATTTCATGCATTTTCCTTTCCTTAATTAAAAGTGTTAAAAGTCTGTTTGTTTTAGTCAGGTAAAAGTTCCAGAAACCTGAAATACAAAGATTTCTTTGATCCGGTTGAAAGTGACGACATAGCAAGTGTTCCTGATGAAGAACTGGGTTCAGATGAAGGGGAGGAAATTGCTGAAGGAGGAGCGGAAAGCCTTTCTGAAACGTGAGTATTTTGAATGATCCTTTACATGTGGGCTGGAGCTGCCCAGTCACATGCATACTCGGAGTTGTCAGATATGTTTGACCTAGGAAGTTAGAGTCTCTGAGATCACATAGTCTCGAGATAGCCAGCAGAAAGTCAACTTAGAAGGGCATTAGAGATCACCCAGCGAAGATAAACATCGCTGGCAGTAGCAATCAAACCTTTATTACAAGGAGCTTTGATTTGGTTTTTTTTGTGCCTATTGTTATTTGTGTGAGATAACTTTATGGTATAGATTAACCAGTCATTTGTTTTCTTTATGTTCGACACTTTTTGTTCTATTTCACCTAAATAATTCCTTCTGTTGTTCCTTAATAACTGGGACTTTAGAAGTTCGGAGTATTTAGTTCTATTAGGTATACAGAAGAAAATGTAAATTACCAGAAAATATGTTTTCTTTTTGTTTCCCTAATGAAAAGTGGTGTTTCTCCTTTGATAAGTGGTTTTGTATCATAGGGATGAAGATGATGACCTTGAAGACACTGAAGACAACAAACAACATAAAAAACGCTCGAAAAGAGTGACCTTTGCTTTGCCAGACGATGAGGAAACTGAAGATTCAGATACCTTAAATGTCCAGAAAGATTCTGCTGAAGTTAAATCCTCTTTTGAAAAAAGACAGGAAAAGGTAACCATTACAGCTCACTGTCTAGAGACGCCCAAGTGGAAGGCAGCTAATTTGTAAAAATCAGGGCTGCATATCCCAACCTGTAGCTTTCAATTTGTGCGCCTCTGTAGAAACCTGTTTCTTTTCTCTGTCCCTGCTCTTCATACCTAGTGTCTTTACTAATTAGCTGTCCTGTGAACCTCGTAACCATAACTACTCTTATGGATATGCCTCTTTCTTTGAGATGCTCTGCAGATGGCTTTTGTGAGTGCCGTGGGGACTGATTTTTAGTTATACCATCTCAAACACATCTCCCAAAGCTGATAAAAATTATTTCTATGCTATGTGATTACCAACAAATGAAATGGCATTGAAAGTAACGTAGTCAGGCTCCAATTATTTGGTTCTACCGTCTTGTCGTCTTTTAAAAGTTAGAGATAGCTTGGATTGGGGTGTTTAGTCAAAGGTAGGTTCCATCAGATACTGATGTTGTTATGAAAACATGACTTAATCTTGGAGTCCTCTAATAACTGACATTGTCAGTGGCTTGTGAATAGATCATTTGACTAGTAGAACCCAGAAATATACCCAACTGCTTCTGGGGGGTTTAGTACATTACAAACTTTGCATTTTAATTCAATGGGTAAAAGAGGTCATCTGCAGCTCACCCCCACCACAGGCGACAGGAATAGGAAGTCACTACTGGCATAACAAAAGGGGCAGGAACACAGCAGAACTGTGTTGAGGAACAATACATTTCTTTCCCACTTTAAAAATATTAGTTGCTTTCACTCCACTCTACGTCTAATTTTGTTTCATAAATATGTAATAACTCTTTCTGTCTTGTTCTCAGATGAATGAAAAAATTGCATCTTTAGAAAAAGAGTTGTTGGAAAAAAAGCCTTGGCAGCTTCAGGGGGAAGTGACAGCCCAGAAGCGCCCGGAGAACAGCCTCCTCGAGGAGACCCTGCACTTCGACCACGCCGTCCGCATGGGTGCGTGTGCCCGGGCGCCCGGGGCTCCCGCAGGTGTATGCCGTTCCTCTGGGTTCCGTTAACATTCTGACTGGGTGTGTGTGCTTTTCCCCCCGACAGTCATTAGAAAGTAAGTCGCCCATATGGTGACATTCAGTCCTAAGTACTTTTACTCGGCTCTCGCCACTGGGCATTCTCCTCTGTAGCCACCGTAACATTAATCCAGGATTACTGATGCGCTAACGGTACCTAATGGGTAGACCGTAATTAGATTTTTGCTAGTGCCTGCTGTCATTGTCCACCAACTCAGTTGTGAACTCTAGCCAGAACCCCCGATCATCTCATCAGATTCTTTCTTGTACCCATGTCAAAGTGAATTTCCATTTAATTCAGTGCTAAAGAGAATGGAAAAGAAGGGATTCCCCAGGTGCGTGGACTAAAAGCGTCAGCACTGACTACCACATATTTGCTAGTTTCGTGGTTCTCAAACTGGACGGAGCAGCAGAAGGGCTAGTTAACACACAGATAGGTGTCCCTTCCCCCTGCCCCCTGAATCAGGGGGTGTGGGTGGGGCGCAAGAATTCCCTTTCTAACAAGTTCCCAGGTATTGATGCTGCTGGTACAGGGACCGCCCTTTGAGAACCACTGGTCTGGTTTGTATCTACATAGCGAGTGCATGTTTTCTTCCCTTCAGCTCCGGTGATCACAGAGGAAACCACCCTTCAACTAGAAGATATCATTAAGCAGCGGATAAGAGATCAGGTCAGTACGAATGAAACTGAACTTCATTTAAAGTTTACCGAAATTTTTAGAAATAATATGAGCATATTTGGGGAGTAGGAATAACACTCTGCCTTTATAGAAGTTTTATGTCAGTTGTTATTGAAAAGCCCGAAGTTGGCACTAGAGGCATCCTCGGCTTTTGTTGTGTGAGGCGCTGTCGTCACTGGTGCCCTGGAAATGTGGGTGCTGTGCCAGAGGGGAAGGGGTTGGCCAGAGCCATTGCCAGTGTCGCCTGCACCCTGCTGACCTGTTGGGTGGTGTGGGGTGAAGCTGGTGGAAGGGTGGTGGGTGTGGTGACTGGTGACTGACTTGATGTGGTCACACCCAGGACCCTTAGTCTAGGCACAGTATCTGGTGTGACAGACGAAGAAGGGTCTGTTTTTCTCCAAATGATAAAAACCTAGCAAAGAGCTTTTAAGAATTAAGCTCCTTTTGTACGCTTAGAGTACAACTGGAGTGTAGGACATGTGTATTAAGAGGTGGCTTTAGAACGTGTGTGATGCTTGCTTAAAACAGGAAGGGTTTGAAGAGTGGACACTATATGCAAAGGTCTTTAAATGTGAAATGAGACAAGACAAACATGAATCCTGACTTTTAAATAAACTGATGGGGAAGTGGGGAATTAAAATGGGAAACCAGGAGAAAGACACTTTTAAAAGAAAAACAAATAAAGGATCCCTGAGCGATGCCTTTGCTTTTCATAATACTTACTCTCTGTGACGTGAATAGTCAGTCATTCAGGGGTGACAGTTCCTTCCTTTCTCCGACACTTTGCTTTCTCTGGGATGATGACAGATATTCCAGAGGCAGATTCTTAAGTGAGCCTAGAAAGAAATGAGAGATTTTGTGAATTTATGTTCCACCTGCCTCTCACATTTCAGGCTTGGGATGATGTCGTCCGGAAAGAGAAACCTAAAGAAGATCCGTATGAGTATAAAAAGCGGTTAACGTTGGACCATGAGAAGAGCAAGTTGAGCCTGGCTGAAATTTATGAGCAGGAGTACATCAAACTCAACCAGGTGAGGAGCCGGTAAGGCAGAGCCACTGTTATTAAAAGAAGAGAATCAGCCCGGCCGGTGTGGCTCAGCGGTGAAGCATCGACCTAGGATCCAGAGATCCCGGTTCAATTCCCAGTCAGGGCACAGGCCCGGGTTGCGGGCTCGATCCCCAGCAGGGGGCGTGCAGGAAGCAGCTGATCAGTGACTCTTATCATTGATGTTTCTCTCTCTCCCTCTCCCTTCCTCTCTCTGAAATCAATAAAAAAAATTAAAAAAGAATTAGAGAATTAGTTCTGTGATGGCTGAAATTCATGAAACAGAAATCTTGAGCTCTTGGCTCACCTCGTTTCAGTGAGAGAGAGAACAAGCTCAGAATACTGCGGTTAAATGTTCCCACTGAGTAGAAGGGGTGGGGACTTTGTTTTGCAATTCACAGTGGCCACCTGATAGCTAGTTATTAATTTTCCAGCAATTATTATAGTGCTACAATTTTTAAATCATTTCTCATTCATACGTTAGAAGTTGCTGATGTGTTTTATAAGATTATCTGTGAATTTGTTCAATGTTTAGGTCTGGTGGGTATTTTTGATTTTTGTTTCTTTTTACTTAGAGTCTTAAAAAAATATCTCTGGTTAAATAGGACAAAGTCATATTTCCAAAAATATATTCCCAACATAATAATTGTGAATTATTCCTTTACATTTGATTTAGTAGGAATGCGGTCAGTATGTGTTTGGGGAGGGGATGGCATTTTTATTCCATCAGGGCCATTTAAGATTCCCACCAGATTTTGCTAATTAATGACACTCCAGCAGCAAGAGCAGTGTCCTTGGTGCCACTGTGAAGTTGAACTGGGAAGAATCGAGTTAAAAATTCTTCCTGGCTGCTTTGCAGCCCAGGGGTGCTGTTGAAGGGACGTGTGTACAGCCTCAGGAGACGCTACTGAACATCACCTGGCTGCTTTGACGAGACTCAGTAAATGCAGTTGGTAACCATGAGAGTGTTGTCTTGCGATGTATCTTAAGCTGCTTAATACGATGTTGTTGAACTTATTTTCTAAGCAAAAAACAGCCGAAGAAGAAAACCCAGAGCACGTGGAAATTCAGAAGATGATGGATTCCCTCTTCTTAAAACTGGACGCCCTCTCGAACTTTCACTTCATTCCGAAACCGGTGGGTGTGGAAACTTTCTCGCGTGGAGATAGAGCAGATGCGATCTCCGTTCCTTCCTAAGCTTTCCTGAGACGAGCTCTTTATTTGGTCTCTATGCAGAAGAGTCTGCTCTTAGGAGCTGAAACATGAGAAAATGTATCAAGTGCTCTATTCTGACTTTTGCCCAGGGAGCATTTTTCCATGCATCCTGTAGTTCTTACAGTGAGCTTTCCCCCAAAACCAAGGGCAAGGGAATATTTACGGAAATCAACAGGTTCTGTTAAATAGTAGGTAAGATGGGGAATGCACACAAACGTGGGAGATGGGAATAGTTTAGTAACAGATGAAAGAACTGGTGTTTAAATATGGCAGAAACATCACACAGAAGGTAGGAACCGGTGCTCCTAGTGCCGGCTGAGACGGAGAAGACCCTAAAATACTCAGGCGTCGTAAGCGCTGCCCCCACACTGCCATCATGGCAGTTAGCTTCACGTCCACTGTCAGCACAGCTCACGTTTTAAGAAATCTCCCAAAAGAACTTTATGTATTAGATTTTCAATTAGTGGGTTCACAATTCAAATCCTTAGGTGAGGACTCCTTCTGACTTCCTGTTCAATGTACTGTCTCTTTTCCAGCCTGTCCCGGAGATTAAAGTCGTGTCCAATCTGCCGGCCATAACCATGGAGGAGGTCGCCCCAGTGAGTGTCAGCGACGCGGCTCTCCTGGCCCCAGAGGAAGTCAAGGTAAGGAAACGTTCAGTACCTGCCGGTAAGTTAGCTGTTTATAGCCAGATCTCCATTTAATGCCATTCTCATTGAGTTTGTAGTTTTTATTCTAATGTATCTCAGCAGTTTCTAAGTATAATCAAGGTAATAATGTTATAATTGTATATAATATTCAAATGCCAGACTTGTATAATCAGGTATTATTATGAGATGCAGGTATGAGAATTATTATCAATTAATATAAAAGCTGTTGGTAAANATAATATTCAAATGCCAGACTTGTATAATCAGGTATTATTATGAGATGCAAGTATGAGAATTATTATCAATTAATATAAAAGCTGTTGGTAAATAAACAATATCAGTATCTTGTAATCCATTTGAATACTAGCCTTGTTGGGTTTCAAACAAATCACATGTATTGCTTCTAATACTAGTGACGTTGTAACACCAGCCTTGCGCCCCCTGCTTCCATTTAATGTGTGTCAGGCGTGGAGTCAGGGTCTAGACTATGAGCCTTTGGACACGAAGAGGTTGCATGTGCCCCGCGCAGGCAGCCCTGCTGTGCGCACTGGCCTCACGCCTCGCACCGGAATGATGGTTCCTGCCCGCACGCCATCCCCGCTGGCCTAGGGGACAGCCCTCTTCCCCCCTCACTTGCTTTGCTGCCCTCACAGCCACCTCTGCTGGTGACACCCTGGCAGCTGGGCTGGCAGCTGGGGGGAGCGAGAGGCAGCGAGCGTCACCGGATGGGTTTCCTTCCGTCCCGGGGACCCTGCGGTCAGCCCAGCGGCCGTATAAGCGGCTCTGCACTGGGGCTGCCTGGGCACGTCCCCGGAGCTCATGCTGGAGCCCAGGAGCTGTAGGCTCCTGGGCAAGTCGTGTTACTTCTGAGTCCTTAGACTGACTAGTACGTTGGTGGTGGGGTTTTTTTAAACAGGAAAAAAATAAAGCTGGAGATATAAAAACCGCCGCCGAGCAAACAGCCACAGACAAGAAACGAGAAAGAAGGAGAAAGAAACACAGGAAGCAGCTGCGCCTGAAGGAGCAGGAGCGACGGAGGAAGCGCCTCGAGGGGAGCGGCGCGGCCGGGGCCAGGGGGCTGAGCGCAGCCGCCGCCTCGGAGAAGCTGAAGCAGCTGACGAAGGCGGGCAAGGCTGCGCTGCTGAAGGTGAGCGGGGTGGGATTCCGGGGACCCGCTGGCCCTGCGGTGACAGCCGGCCACCTGCCGAGTGCGCAGGCCGCTGGCCACAGCTGGCCTACAGCCTCAGCCCCGGGTCCTCACTAACCTCTCCCCGTGGCCACTGATAGGGTGTGGTCACCCTGTGGGGGGGGGGTCACCCGCAGGCACATTTTGTACACGGCTTGTCTTATTTTTACTCGCAGGACGAAGGAAAAGACAAAGCCTTGAAGTCTTCTCAGGCGTTCTTTTCTAAGTTACAAGATCAGGTGAAAATGCAAATCAGCGATGCAAAGAAGCCAGAAAAGAAACGGAAGAAAAGGCAGGACCTCTCCGTTCACAAGTTAAAGCTGTAATGTATTCGGACTGTAATGTAAATAGGGGTGCGTAAGTTAATATTCACCCATCGTTCTGTTTTATAAATAAAGTTTTTGAGAACTTTTCTTGGCACGGACGCAGATATTTGAGAATCCCACATGTGCAAAGACTCCGAGCTGCTTTTTCTGGATGTGAAGCGGGACCTACCGGCGACACCCTGGCTGTGCTGGGCCCATGTGGAGCCAGCTTGGGCCCTCAGGCCAGGGAGCAGAGCTGGCCTGCAGGCTCAGGGACAGCAGCCAGCCTCCCCGTCACAGCCAGCTGTCCACCGCAGAGGTCCCCATTCTTTGGGGTCTTGGTTTTCTCCCACTGCCCTGTCAACCTCACAGGGATGTCATCCTTAGGGATTCTCAGGTGCATGCCTAACATGTTCCCCTTGGGAAACGGTCTCATCACCTGCGCAGTGGCTTCACAGGCTGTCAAGCACCGTCCACAGTCAGGTGCGTGGAGGACAGGTGTGATCTAGACGTGACAGAAGGTGAACCCAGCTAGGAAGGGGGCCCGGCAGTCAGGTGCTCATGGTCCTCAACCTCCCCACCCAGGGAAAACTGCCTTTTGTCTGATGGGATCTCAGGATGCTTTGGGTGGAGATGCCTTAAGCCTTTCAAGGGTAGAGAACGTCCCTGGCCTTGGTGTTCTTAGACTTGCCAGGCACGCTTGTACCCTGGGTACCCTCCCTGTTACGCAGGGATTTCCCCACCCCCACAGGACATGACCTAACACGAGGGAGGCATGTGATACGCAATACGTACTTGCTGGTGAATTCCCTCCTCATGTCCCTTTTCTCTTTGGTTCGTTCATTCATGCATTCGTTCAGCACATATTTATAAACTAAGTAAGCACACAGTGCTGGCCAGTGTTGCAGGCAGCAACAAAGGACAAACATGGGGCCTGCGCACAGAGAAAGCTTACCTTCTGGTCATTCTTGGGGATGCTGGAAGCAGCTGGTCTCAAATCAAGAGGTGACTGAAAAACTTTCAGGTAATTTTCCAGTTACATTATATAGCCATTATTATAAACTAAACTACATAACCTCACAATTAAACTATATTAAAAACAAAAGTAATGAATGCCCCAAACTCACCACTCCCTAATTACACTAGTCCCCCCCTTATCCACGGTTTCACGACATTTCCACCATCTTAGTTACCCGTGGTCAATCCTGGTCCAAAAATGTTACATGGAAAATTCCAGAAATAACTCTAAGTTTTAAATTGCGTGTGGTTCTGTGTAACTCGGTAAAATTTCAAAAGGACATGCTTAGTCCTGCCCGAGTGAGTCCTGCCTTTGTCCAGCGTATCCACACTGTAGGCTCCCCACCCACAAGGCACCTGGAGCCACCTGTTATCAGACTAGTTATAGAGATTACAGTCAAATAACTCACTGCAGTGTAATGTTACAGTTGCCCTATTTCATTAGCTATTGTTAACCTCTAAAAACCAAACTAGATCCTAAGTAGGTATTTCTAGGAAAAAACATCGTTTATACAGGGTTCGGCACTACCCCGGTTTCAGACACCCGCAGGGGCCTGGGGGCCATCCCTGGGGACGGGCTGTGCACTCGACTGCACCCGGCCAGCCCCGGGCTCGAGTCACACCCGTGTCCCCGCCCAGGGGCCGCTTCCCTTTGACCCCGGCTGACTGCTCGCTCCGACCGGCAACCTCCGCGCCGACCGGGAGAGGGGTTCCCCCCACGCGCACCCCCACCCCCGAGCGCGCGGGGCGCTCTGCCGTCGGCCTCCCCCTGGCGCCGCGGGACGCAGG